AGAGTTTTGACACACTGGGAGGGACTGGTACGAATGTCCCACACATTGATAAAGGACTGGGACACAGTGATACTTACCTGAGAGTTTTGACACACTGGGAGGGACTGGTACGAATGTCCCACACATTGATAAAGGACTGGGACACAGTGAAGACAAGCCTTTGCTGCTCACAGTACTTCACCCTGATGACGTTGTTGGGATGTCCCCCGAGGGACAAGACCTCACGTCCCGTGCGGAGGTCCCATACCTTTGCAGTGCGGTCTGAAACGTAAATACACAGTTGAGTTACCATGTACATGTAATTGTATACAAATTCATACCTACAGACACCTTCCCGAGATGCTTGTTGTTTATTTTGTTCTTTTTTGTAGCTACTTGCTCCTTCACAAGGATTTGAACATGATTGAACTGACCACTTAACAAAGATTTAATTAAAATAAAACCAAAAATGGCATTGTCCTACCTTTACTGCTGGAGAAGAGGAGGTCCTCTGTAGCGTCCACACACAGGATAGCCTTGGTGTGACCTTCAGCTGTGTGTGTACATGTCACTGGGCTGAACTTACTGGGGGCCGCGATCCGACCATTGTTAGGCACAATACTTCCCCTAGGTAACAAAATATAAGTCTCCTATATTTCCTAACATTTTATTCAGGTAGGTAAGTATGGAATGTGAAAAGATTCATGTAGCACAATCAAAGAGCGTTTCGATGACTAGTACTGTATGTCCTGTGTCACCTTCATCAGACAAATGACACAAAGTTGTAAAATGTGTGCGAGTTGTCCACAAATTGAGGTCGATTCGGCTACGCGGTAAGCGTATGTACAATTAGTTGTCATATATGTACCGAAATGACTCGATTCAGCTACGCTTTGTTTAATACTTGGTCATAGATGTTTGAGAGTTTATAAGCCTCCTCATGTCCTCCATTCAGAACTGGCCCACTGCGGAGTATCCAGATGGCTTCCGTTATCTGCCGCTTGAACTGATTGCTCTCTCTGGTCATTTGTCTGATGAAGGTGATAGAGTACATACCATACTAGTCATCAACACATCACATATAAACACTTTTTGGTTGTGCTACATAAATCTTTTTACAATAAGCCTCCTTTATGTAATATAATCATCAAACATGCTACCCTGTTGTTGGTGACATATTACTCAACTAATTAGTAAGCTCAACATATATTTTTTTTTTACATTTGTGAGAAATTATTCTGATAAAAGTACTGAACGTTTTATTGTATGCAACATGAAATAGTTTGGATGTAAAAGTGTAGCCTATTGGCTGAGCATACATACCTGTTTGGAGGATTGTAACAGTATATCTGATTGGTTGAGCACTCCTTTTGGAGGACTGATAAGAGTTTATTTGATTGGTTGAGCACACATGTTTGGAGGATTGTAACAGTACATCTGATTGGTTGAGCACTCCTTTTGGGGGACTGATAAGAGTTTATTTGATTGGTTGAGCATACCTGTTTGGAAGACTGATACAGTTTATTTGATTGGCCGAGCATACCTGTTTGGAGGATTGGAACAGTATATCTGATTGTCTGAGCATACCTGTTTGTAGGACTAAAACAGTTTATTTGATTGGCCGAGCATACCTGTTTGGAGGACTGATACAGTTTCTTTGATTGGTTGAGCACACCTGTTTGAAAGATGGTAACAGTATACCCCCTTGGCTGAGCATACCTGGGTGAGCATACCTGTTTGGAGGATTGTAACAGTACATCTGATTGGTTGAGCACCCCTTTTGGAGGACTGATAAGAGTTTATTTGATTGGTTGAGCCCACCTGTTTGGAGGATTGAAACAGTATATCTGATTGGATGAGCATACCTGGCTGAGCATACCTGTTTGGAGGACTAAAACAGTTTATTTGATTGACCGAGCATACCTGTTTGGAAGACTGATACAGTTTATTTGATTGGTTGAGCACACCTGTTTGGAGGATTGTAACAGTATATCTGATTGGCTGAGCATACCTGTTTGAAGGATTGTAACAGTATTTCTGATTGGTTGAGAATACCTGTTTGGAGGATTGTAACAGTATATCTGATTGGCTAAGCATACCTGTTTGGAGGATTGAGTGAGGGAGGCTGTGTATTACTGGTGAGTCGGGAGAAGACATTGTCCCCAGTGATTCTTGCTCGGCGTGTGGACGTAGGTGAGGATGGCGGGGTGGTGTCTGAGGATGTTGTGTCTCTGTAATGAAATAAAGGTTATATGTCAAAGGAAATCAATCAAAAAAAGAAGTCAGTGGTTGGTCAAAACTTCCTTTATCTGAAAAGAAACATAAAAATATCCAGTAACCATGTTTCTTCCTATTCTGAGGTCACTTTATACAACAAATGTTGGCGGTAAATACCGCTTTGTCTCCCCCATTTTTACCCCCATTCTCACATGCATTACCTTTAATACATATAAATGCAGTCCCATTTTTCGATACATGTATCTATTTTTTTCTTTTGCATCTGGTACACCGATTCAGAATACAACTGTAAGAATTTTAAACAATTACCAAAAGTAGAGATTTTCATTTTCACCAACTACATACAAATATTCCTTTTTTTTTGTCAGCACTTCATGAGATATATTTCACATACTATAATCATACTGATGCTTCTTCATGACATACGGAACACATAAACCAATATGAACTATTGATTACCTGATTTACTAAGCTTACATAGCTACCAAACCAAGCAGGAAAATGGTTAAGGGGAGATAACCCAGCTCTTATACATGCAATAAACATTGTTTTGGTTTTGATTACCCGATTAACCTTACATAGCTACCAAACCAAGCAGGAAAATGGTTAAAGGGAGATAACCCAGCTCTTATACATGCAATAAACATTGTTCTGGTTTATTTCTTAAAATCTTTAATAAGCTGTAAGTTGCTACCATTCCAAATCACCCAGAAGTACTGAACTGTTTAAGCTAATACTCACAGTAACCTTCTATACAAATTTATGGAGAGAAAAAAAATGTTCATAAAAACAAACAAAAGGCCAGGAAAGATAGGGCTAAATCTGGTTGTGCCTAAATTTTGACTAAATTTATTGGTATTGTGCGTACAATTGGTTATCTACACACAAAATTTTGGAAGCAGGACAAACAGTCTTGTGTGTATTGGGCATGTAAGGTAATGGGTCATCACCAATCAAAAGCATCCAATTAATTTGTATAGTCATATAGTGTGGAGGTATGAAGTGTTGTATCTTAACCCTTTCACCCCTAGGTAACTTTAGTAGACTCTACCATGCATTTATAGGGATGAGTCCATTATGGTCTATGGTAGTGAAAGGGTTAATGTTGGTATACATTTATATGTTTATTACAGGGTTATATGGGAGACATAAATTAAGTAAACCTTCACAGTGCTCCATACAATAACTAAATCATAGTTCAGGATGAGACATCCATAAAAAGTAAAATTCATCTCCAAATATTATTTTAAATCTTACATTCATACTAGTAATGCCAATGTCTAGATAGAGATAAAAGCTTATAGGAGGCACGGTAGTCTAGTGGTAGGAGGTGACTTGAACCTGCAACCCTTCGGTCACGAGTCCGGCACTGTGTTGTATCTTTGAGCAATATGATACTTTACTCCGCTTGTTCCAGTCTACTCAGCTGTAAATGAGTACGTGGATGGGCAGTGCTAGAATTGTTGAATACTAGCTGTGAGCGCCGAACTGGCAGCATCAGCTGTATGCTCCCCAGGAAGTTGAGAAAGATATTGGCTGGTTGCAAACGCCCTATAACCACGGATAATAAGTTGTGCACCACCTTGAGGCGACCTACGAACTAGGTTGTGAGAAAGTGGTATAGAAGAACATCAAATTATTATTTATCATTAGAATCAATGATCCAATAAGATGGCCCTACATCTTGTGTGTAATGTATGTCAAAACCTTACAATAATGACACTATTTGTTTAAAATGTTAATCATGACATACACAACAACATTGTACTATATACACTTTTTTTCAGGTGGCATACCATTACAATATCTATCAACTTCTAACAATATGTGATCTCTAGTTCTGATCTTTCCCAGAAACTTATACAAAATGATATTTTCTCACACAGTAATAGTCTGGTGTAGCCCAATCTGTCCAATTCTGCACTCTCTGACCTCCCTGAACTTTCTAGGGGATTGTACTACTTACTAATTAATTACACACTATTCATTTTGGTCTGGAGGATAGAAGGAACATTGCTTTACCTGTCTATACTGGGAATGCCAGTGTCTGACAATTTTACATAATCACATGTTTATGGTTTTCTGTTTCCTTGAAAGAATACAACATCAAGTTCTGGTGTTGTATAGATGCACCCCCTCCCTTGCCCTCCCCCTATCCCACCCCACTGGGGTAAAGTTGTGTGAACATTAGGTCCAGATTGTTTTTTAACACTGTCACAGCTACTGGTACTATATAGATTACAACAAAGTGTTAAGCATTAACCAATTCACCCCTAAAGTCACATCTGAACCTTACCAAATAAAAGACTGGACAAGTCCACTTTAAATATGTAGGGGTGAATGAGTTAATGGCACTGGTTTCTACACTTGTCTGTATGGAGTTGCTTTGCCCAGTCAGCACTTTTAATTTTGCCTATCCCAGATATGTAGTACCATTATTTATATGAGATATGGCCAGCGGGTTCCACTGACAATGGATGTGGGAGTGAAGTGTTTAAACAATGGTGAACACCAGGTTTTATATTGTCACCTACAAACATTAGGTTTTGGAATAATTTTTCGTTCTGTTATTTTCTTGTTATAATTTTATAAATCTCTCTACATATAATGACAATCTTTTTTAAGAAAAACATGTATGAAGCCATTAACTGTTTTATTTTTGTGATTTCACATGGCTACTTGAAGTACAATGTGAGGTGAACATTGAACTAACTTTCTAAAACAGACTATGTTGAATGTGTTTTATGCTTTAACTCATTCACCCCTACAGATTTAAAGTGGACTTGCCCAGTCTTTGATTTGGTAAGGTTCAAATGTGACTTTAGGGGTGAATGGATTAAAACCATGAAGACATTTTTGAAATGATGTGAAAATCATAAACCATGAGAATTTGACCTACAGAGGTCGATCTGATCTCTGTCATGCTCCGACAGAATCTAGCCTTCTGTCTATACAGGAGTCACAGTGCATGGAGATTAATTCCTCTAGATGGGAGATCTTGTAGGAGTTTATCAGATTCAATTAACAGTAAACAGTTCTTATCAAATGGATTGTATACAATGTATACATTCTGATCAGACATTAACAATCGGCCCATACCTGATGGCTACCAAACCATGGCTTTGTGTATAACAAGTACCTTAGTGCAGGCCTAATGTACACAAACATATACTTTGTCATGTATACAGATATCAGAACTATATATACAAGGAGCCAACTGCCCTTTTTTTTTAAGTAAGAAAACAGTTAAATAGGATAATGCAGTCAAACCTGTATTAGAGACCACCTTGGAGAACTTCCGAAAGTTGTCTCATAATACAGGTACAAATAATGCAATGAGAAGCTTTAAAAGTGATCTCTAAAGCAAGGTATCTCTATAAAGTGGTCTTTTGAACGGATTTGACTATTAGGAAAGGTTTTTCTAAATTTCTACAAGCAAAAAAAGGATAAAATATATGGCAGAATATGACTGTAAAGAAAGCAAACTCCATCCTTAAGGAAAACCTTTCCATGGAATGGGAGGAATGGGTAAAATCAAGGGAGATATATTCTGTTTGTTAAAACAACACCACCTATACTACAATGCATAATAATACCTGTAGTTTAGTCTCAAGGCGAGATCAAACTCAGCACTTTTTGGTCGCTCTTTCAGATTCATGTTCTCTATAAGCAAATGACATGATTTTCTCTCAGGGGAAGGCATCTCGCCAATGTAACCTTTTGTTCTTTCAGGGGAAGATAACTCTCTGATGTAACATGACTTTCTGTCAAGAAAAGATAACTTCATCAGCAGAAAACTCGCCTGTGGGGCATTTAATCTGAGAAGTGATACTGCAGAATAAATGTGTTTAACTCATTCACCCCTGAAGACACATTTGGACTCTTCCAATTCAAAGGTTGGAATAGTTCATTATGAAATTTCAGGGGTGAATGAGTTAATATGATGTGGTAGGTTCAATGACTTAGCTTCAGCAGCTAGGCATACCAGTGTTTGGGGTGGTGTAAGTGCCAAATTAACCGATTTGTCTTGAACGGCATTGAATAGTCTCGACTTCTTCCTCACCAAAAACTGGCAGAGCATACCATACTTTCACTCTCAGCATGTGTATGGTAATTAGAATTATAGCCAATTACAATATCTCCAATTCTTTCTCATAAAATGGAAATGAAACAATCACAAGGAATCCGCCTAGTAAATTTCCAAAGCATTGTCAAAGTGGAGAATATTGACCCACTTAAAAGATAATCGCTGTGTATGGTGTTGCCCTAGGTTTAATATTGAGCCAGACCCCACAAGAGTGGCAAAGATTTCTAAATCAGGTCCCCGAGGGGAGGAAATCCTCGCAGTTACTGTCAAATCAAGCGTCATTATCTTTTGCAGCTTTCCTGCCCAGGAACTGTGTGAATTGTCACACGTGAGCTATCAACACATTGATCAATGCTGTTGCAGATATTATACAATGTCTGGCCTTTTCCCTGTATTGAATTCCTGTGTTCTGGACTTTTCTTTATTGTTATTTCATTGCAAGTTGATATGAAAATGAAAGTGCTTTATACAAAAGACCTGATTTGTTTTGTTTTCATTTCCAATAGGTGAGTCACTTCATGACCTTGTTTGTATTAGTTAAATGTTAAGGCTTCCTAAATGTTTGACATTTATTTTCTAGGAACCAATTACCTAACTTCTAAGCAAAACAATATCCATTTGATTCTTTCAAGGATATCTATAAGACTTCCCAGAATGATGTCTGATATAGATAAAGAGTGACAGTGCAGCTTAACTCATTCACCCCTGAAATTTAATAATGAACTATTCCAACCTTTGAATTGGAAGAATTCAAATGTGTCTTCAGGGGTGAATTCGTTTAAAAACAAAGTATGTTTTTTTCATTCAGCGATGCAGTTAACAAAGAGTGCTGAGAGAGAGAGAGTGAGAGAGAGAAAGAGAAAACTAGAAATATAGGAAGCAACTGAGATAGAAAGACAAACAGAGAAATGGATATATGGTAAAGAGATTATTTATACACAGAGATATGGACAGAGAGAAAAACAGAGATACAGATAGTTTACTGAGACAGAAACACTCATATACCAGTAAAGACATTCACCAACAAATATGCAGAAAGTACAATTTAGTTGAGAAATATAAATGAAATATTAAATGGAAACAAAAAGATTAAATGGGCAGATTTCTTATTTTGTTTTCCAGATGGCATACCATTACAATATCTATCAACTTCTAACAATATGTGATCTCTAGTTCTGATCTTTCCCAGAAACTTATACAAAATGATATTTTCCCACACAGTAATAGTCTGGTGTAGCCCTGTTTCTCTGACCAATCTGTCAAATTCTGCACTCTCTGAACATAAATAAAGTATCTATAAACATGAAACTTGATTACAAAATTATAAGTTTTTCTTCTTCTTTTAAAAAATAATTATAAAATAGTTTTGGTAAATTCAGGATATATATTTAGCAAATGACAACAACAGCCTTGACATTGGACACAAAATGTCAGGAAAACAAGTTTTTATACTGCTGTTACACACTGAGGTAGCTGAAACTCTTTTACCATGTTACCAAGGATGAAATGAAATGTTTAAAACATTAGTGACCACTTATTTTGATTTTCCGTGGCAACATATATCTTTAAAACCCTTATGATGAAAATCTGGCGTAACAGGAAGTTTGCAGACAACCTTTAACCTGTTGAGGCAGGCAGAAGGAGACAGGATGAAGCATTAGTGGAGAAACAGTCAACAGTATCGATGACTATAGTGATTTACATCAAACAGATATTGTCACATCTAACAACACCTAACACAATACATTTACCTGTATTAATCAATACAGGTACTCGTTTATACCCAGATGGAAAGAAACTTTATTAGGTGTGCATGTGGACCCTAGCCACACTTTGATCTGATAAAAGACAGTCGGTGATGTGGGGAATACTATAACAGGTGTACATCTCTGGTCACGGCAGGTAACGGGCCACTCATAGCACCGGTCACCAGTCATCAAGGTCACGGCAGGTAACGGGCCACTCATAGCACCGGTCACCAGTCATCAAGGTCACGGCAGGTAACGGGCCACTCATAGCACCGGTCACCAGTCATCAAGGTCACGGCAGGTAACGGGCCACTCATAGCACCGGTCACCAGTCATCAAGGTCACGGCAGGTAACGGGCCACTCATAGCACCGGTCACCAGTCATCAAGGTCACGGCAGGTAACGGGCCACTCATAGCACCGGTCACCAGTCATCAAGGTCACGGCAGGTAACGGGCCACTCATAGCACCGGTCACCAGTCATCAAGGTCACGGCAGGTAACGGGCCACTCATAGCACCGGTCACCAGTCATCAAGGTCACGGCAGGTAACGGGCCACTCATAGCACCGGTCACCAGTCATCAAGGTCACGGCAGGTAACGGGCCACTCATAGCACCGGTCACCAGTCATCAAGGTCACGGCAGGTAACGGGCCACTCATAGCACCGGTCACCAGTCATCAAGGTCACGGCAGGTAACGGGCCACTCATAGCACCGGTCACCAGTCATCAAGGTCACGGCAGGTAACGGGCCACTCATAGCACCGGTCACCAGTCATCAAGGTCACGGCAGGTAACGGGCCACTCATAGCACCGGTCACCAGTCATCAAGGTCACGGCAGGTAACGGGCCACTCATAGCACCGGTCAGCAACAACTAATATCACCCGACATCATCAACAATCATACCTCAGACAGGTGAGTCCCAACACCACATTATTCTATTCACCTTATACACATTGTTACGCCTGTTTTACCTTTCATAGTTCATCTTCAATTCTGACAACTTTTTACTTCAATTGTAAGTCAAGAGATTTAGGACCAACTGGAATTAGTAATTAAGGCTTATTACATGAGGTTTTTATTAACAAAAATGATAAAATACTAAGACATTCTCGAGAAATCAACTGATTAAAATAGATTTCTTTAAGCAAGGAATAACAACTACCATTTTTAAGGGCTTTGGTATGACTAGGCCTGGGGACAGATTCCATTGCCTTTCTCAACCCGGCGAACATTTAAGTTAGGAATGAGATATTGCCAAGTAAGGCACTAAATTGTCTGTTCATCCTAACAACTACTTCATAGACAGTTGTTAAACAGATTCTACCTATAATGCTCCAACCTTCTGCCGAAAAGTTAAATGTCTGACAATCTAAAATAAAGTGTATTGATACCAAACCCAGCTTGTTTTATTGGGCAGTAAATTACCCAAACCTTTCAATTAGAACACAAAATTTCATTCACCATAAACAGATATCTAGTACCAAAGTTTTCCTGCTGATGTTTTAAAATCCTACAAGAAAATGTATCACCTTCTAGAAGTTACAAAGTCTACGCTGGTTACTAAATAAAGAGCATCTGAAATTGATTAAAATAGATTTCTATTGTAATCAAAATCAATTTTGTGACCAAAGGGTTGATGGTTCGAGTCACGTCAGGGCACCATTGTGTTGTATCTTTGAACAAGATACTTTATTCCGCTTGTTCCAGTCTACTCAGCTGTAAATGAGTACGTGGTTGGGCAGTGCTAGAACTGTAGAATGCTAGCTGTGAAAGCCGAAATGGCAGCACTGGCTGTATGCTCCCCATGTAGTTATGGAAGATATTGGCTGGTTGCATTGCAAAAGCCTTATAACCACGGATAATAATTTGTGAACCGCTTTGAGACGACCTACAAACTATGTTGTGATAAAGCGGTATATAAGAACCACAAATTATTATTATTATAATTTATTTTGTGACTTGCAGTATGTAGTTCCCTCCAAGGACAGGAAATTAAACTATCTTTCTGTTGCAGTGGCGGATCTAGAGACCTTTCTGGGGGGGTTTCCAAAGTTCCTGGGGGGGTTTCCATGTGGGGAAAAATTGAGGAAAAGGGTGAAAATACATGATTTTTAAAGAAAATTCTCAGGTTGGGGGGGTTTCCTGAAGCCCAAAAAACCCCTCTGGATCCGCCACTGTGTTGTTGTCTATCACCAAATCTCTTTCCATCCAAAACCTAGTGATTTTTTTTTTAATTTTTGTTCTCTTTTTCGTTTTCTATACCCCTGACTTTTCATGTTACAGAACCATTACACTAGCAACAGGTTCTCGATTTCAAGACCTAAGGACAAAATGTTTACCTGAAAGAGTAACAGAGCCATATCTCAAGGGGTAATATTGTAACTGTATCAGAAGTAGGAAGTATTTAAAGCCAGACTAACCACACATACCCCATACAACATGTCTCTAATATAACAGCTTATTATCTACTGGTATAATCTCCTTTGACTTAAAAATGAACTATTCAGAAATTTCTCCAACCAATCGTAAACTGTCGCATAATGTTCCCGAACAATAACAAACGTCAATATCACTTAAGTAGCAATCATGCGAGCCAGAAATAAAAAGTACAAGAAAAAATATTTATAGCAAAGTAATCGTTTTCACTGCTCTAATGGTCGACCTGGGATTGTTATTTTGGTATGACGTGTGTCACAAAGAGAAGAAATGGCCTGAAAACACATCTGAACACTATCGGGTGTTATTGGACGTTGGTGTTTATTTAAAGAGAGTCGAGTAAACCCTGATACGAAGTGTGTGTATGAGGTACCACTGTCAGTATATATATCACAACTCTTCCTGTCAGCCGTCAAAAGGACATCAAATCTTTTTCGTTTAGAAAGGGACATATTTGAACTAATATAACAGTAAGTATTTGTATTACAGTGTGAGTATTGTACTATCTTTTAAGTAATTGACACTATCCTGTGAGTAATAGTACTATATATTGTGAGTATTTTTACCCTTTTGACAACATTGTCATGGAGATCTCTAAATTATTCAGAACAGATGTATTTAAATGCATCATAATTGATATTTTACCTTGTTAATTAACTTCAATGTACTTAAATTTTTTCACACACATATTTTGTAATTTTCAGAGATTCATTTATCAATTAATGACTTAGAACAACGTATCAGCTACCTTGCCCAGTAACTAAGACAACAGATAAATTAGTCTCAAAATCAATAAAACTATGTTTCCTGAATTCTATATTGGATTACTTTAGAATCCTTTGATGTAAAAATATACTTATGGGGAGTAGTTGGCTAATATTTCATAAAAGTACCGCCTGGTACAAGGTGTGTATTGGAGTAGCCCTAGCCTTGTAAAATTTTATATGTTTATTGAAATAACCTAAATTCAAGTACTTAAAATTATCTACAACGTTTTGCTCTACAACTCAAATTGTTATTAGATGTTATATTCTCATTAATATACTAAATTTTATTTTTGCACAAACTGATTTAAGACAGTCACGAGTAATGTGTAGGTAAAGTGCCTGACAGGTACTTATGATATTCAATTAACAGATAAAAATAAATAAAATGTCGAGAATGCATTAAGGTTGAAAGCGATTCCATTGATTATTTAAAAAGAAAACATTACAAAACTCTCAAACGAAATACCATAAAAACTATCAGTCTGTTTGTCTGCTGAAAGTTTATATATAAAACTGTTATGTCAACTGGTCTGTACTAGTGTGTGGTAACTTGATAGGATTTCCTTATAGTTCTTTACTCAGTGCTAATCTTCTACAAACGATGGTATTAAAAATAATATGATTAACTCCTGTCTGACACTCTGCACAAGAAAACCATTCTGCCAAAATATCAGCTCAGCTCGTAAATGGATTCAATTGAAATTAATTCTTTTCAAAACTGATGGCAAATGCAATTTTCATTAGGTCTGTTAGTCATTTCCCAATCCCATTCGAGGATTTAAATGAATTCACACACATGTATTTTCTCACTTACAGCAAGGTAAGGCTTATACATACATCATCATTATATAACTATCTGAAAAAATATTTTATGCCTTGTCACATATATCATTAGCAGAATCATGGTCTACATCTGTGCATTTCACCAATTTTTGATTAATCACCATTTTTTCTTTTTAATGTTATCAATTAATTTTAATAAACCTTGGTCTATATATCAAATTTTCAAGGAAAACTGAAAAATCTAAGCATATATATATTTATTTACACCACTTCAATTTTATCCATTGTTGAGCAACCACATTGTCACTCGACAGATAAAATCTTTTTAATCAAAATAAGAGCAAATGTTTGAACAGATCCGACTCAGCTGTGTGCGGGTGTCATATATAAGGGGAATCGGTGCTTATACATGTCCTGTGTGTGTGCTGATTGGTCCAGCTTTCCACAAGTACACACAAAGACAAGCCCATAAGTCCCTGTTACATTCTCCAATCAGCTGGATAGAGAATTTATTGAATTTGATAATTTGCTAAAAGGTTGTGAAGACGACAATAACATTATGTCCTGTTGATAATGATTTTATATTTCCAAGTTTGGCCCCCAGTTGTTTGATTATCAATAAATTTTACATACACCTATATATACGACAAAATCACTACCATCCGATTGTATGTCTGTGTTCGTGAAGTGAGATTACCCAAGGGCAGACCACTCTGGGATGACGTTGGGGTTTTAAAACTACAGTTGTAAAAAGCATCAAATTTGTATGCGTCTTGGACATAAGAGTTTCAGTCAACAGGTAGGTGCGAGATTTCAAAACAGTTATCTTAGTAATAAATGTTAGAGTGCATTACTTATGTATTACGGAGCATATAACATAAATTAACAAGTAACACTAAACACTTGCGAGGCAACTGACAAAGCTGCTATACTCAAGGATAGTGGTATCACGGTACTTATAAATCCAATATGGTAGAAATATTAATGTTAGATAGGACACTGCTTCTTCTATAAAAAGACTGCTCTTCATCCATATATATAAGAAAGATACTGATTTACAAATTTACTTGTTGTAGAATCTAATGGTTTAAAATCATTGTCAACTATCATGCCTTTCCCATTTGATGGATGACAGGAATGCCTGATGTGAGAATCATTTGAAATCTAATTATTGTTTCTACATGAAACAAACAGAAAAATAAATTACGGAAAAAGTTCTGATTCTCTTTTGTGTCCAAAAATTTGGTTTTGTAACAAAGAAAATTAAACTAAAAGAATAACATACAAATAGAAACTTTTGGTATTTGAAATATTGTGTATGAAATATTAGCTAGGCCAATTAACGTAGAATTCAGTCACTTAATATTTATAATAGCAAATGATTGTGCAATACAACTTTCAAAATAATCTTTAAATACTTCTAATAATACGATATTGGAAAAAATATCTGAATTCTGCAAGTATTATTCAAGTGCATACAAGGTAATTTCCTTTTATTTATTTCCTATTTGAAAAGAAATAATTTGCTTCGATATATCTTTTTCTTCTGTACACCTGCCAATAGAAAGTAAATGTAAATGTCTGCAACAACACAAAAATGCTGAAGATCCTCAACGATCTCTGTGATTATCACATAGAGCAAATGCATAAGATTGGGCAACACACGAATGTTTACTGTGTTTATAAAGGTAGATACGCTTCTATCAAGCTTAAGTACATGTTGAGGATTGTATTACAGAATACAGCAACAATCTACCATTTAAAACATCCTACCCTATCAGCTAGTTTTTAATAAAATCTAACCAATTGTATGTAACAACTGATAATTATGGTAAATGTTCTGAACTCTTGAATAAAAAGTCTGCAATTTTTTCATCAGATTTTTTTTGTTTACTGATTGTCCACTTAATTTCAATAAATCTAAAACAAAACAGTTTCACAAAAGCTAATAAAATATGGAATTTGAAATTGAAATGTCTTTTTTTGTATATATAAAATGCCAATAAATCATCTTCTCCCCTGCAGCCTATGATCTGGAGAAGCTGTGATATCTAGTTAATGAGACAGGAAAACAGAAAACCTAACAATGGCTATTGTTCACCTGGTTTTTTCTTGTACCACCTAGCAGTAAATAGTTTTTTTCAAAAATGTTTATCATTTATTTTCCTGTGTCTGATTTCAAATATAGCCTGGCAGGAGATTACATTAAAGATAAATGAACTATGGGGCTGCTAAATTAATCTCAATTGCACCTCCCCAGGTCAATTTCCTTGTTGGTCGAATTTGACCTTAACCACCAAGTAAATCTACCCTTATGTCACTCAACGATAAAATGAGTCGCGGACCCACACTGTGCTGCAAGGCTCTTTAGACAGCTAAACCAATAGCAATTTCCGTCCTCGAAATACCCTTGAAGGAATGTTTGTGAAATTTTATTTTCCTGTTGTTCTATCCATTGCCACAGGTTTCCCTTCAAATGGCACACAGATAAGGTACCTAGCTTTTGATGAGATTGGATCGCTTGTGTGTTAATCAATGGCCAAGTGCTGTGGCTGATGGAGGACACAAAACGGTGACAGCGGTGGGAATTCTCTAGGTTGAACTTCAATGCAGAAATTTATTGACAGCAATGCACCACTTGCGTAAGTACCAATTGATATCATGTCATATTGCTGCACTCTGATAATGATTAAGGCTACTGAAAAATCGCCAAACTTTTTCAAACATCTATATATCATGATTGCATTTTAAAGATTATTTCAATTTGTAAAGGATCACAGAGACATGCATATATATAGATCCTGTTTTAAGTAGAATATTTTTATAAACATTTCTCTCTCAACAATTATTTTTCAAATATCACGGTGAAAGACATTGATTTTAGTATATAAGCAAACAACAATAGCACCTATAAGATGACTAGATTATAGGTTTAATTACTTTAACAGAACAGTTCCTTCCATTTAGTTGTTATTATCAAAGTATTTATTTGTATATACAAACATGTCTATAACAAACTCAAACTTTTGTCCTCTGGCAGCATATTGCAAACAATCTAAATTTTTGCTAAAGCAGACAATTTTTTCCGATACCTATCAGGGTTCATTAAAACCTGCTTTGCAATAAAGATAAAAAAAATCTGGCGTTAGTGATATATAATGTAGAGACATCATTATTTTAGTCCCATTTCTAGTTCTTTATAAACGTAATATCAAAGTTTGACGTTACATATTTCCAAACTGATAAATCTTATTGATGATCTTTATAAATGTGTTCTTGTATACCAGGACAGCTGCAGAAATAATAATGTGTATTTATATAAATTATCAACGCAGTAAAGCAGGTATCGTTTGTGAAGTAAAGTATACAAGCTGAACTCTTTCAGTTACACTTTTCACATACTCGATGAAAGACTTTAACGACCTGCTGATGAAGTCCATAGAATAAATGCCATTTCCTCTCAATCAAAAGGTGTTTGACCTTTCTTTCTGATGGTCTTCAGTTGGTGTAAGGCTTTCCCAAGGCTGACCTGCACTGCATGTCCCCTCCCCGTACCACAGTAATACGGAAGGCCACAAAGAAGATGGCTTGATATTGAGCTACGAATGACCGATCACCTCAAAACGGTTTACGCTTCATTTGCAGCCATCGTGTTAGTGACTATTGAAGGGTGATTTGTGAGATGAGGTGTGTCAGGTTTACCGAGAGGCAATCTTTACTCATTTCACCCCTGAAAACACATTTGAACTCTTCCAGTTCAAAGGTTGGAATAGTTCATTACGAAATTTCAGGGGTGAAATCTTAAACAAGTCCAACTGAAACTATCAGGCCTCTAACAGACATCTTGTCCTATTGTCAAACCCTTTTCTGTTGTAGGCATTTAAGTGTCAGAAATGGCTTTCAGTCTCACTGAGGCAGTCTAGAGCATGGAAACTTGATTTTCCATGAGTGCAAAAATAACCATGATGGTATTTCTATCACAAACCACTTTTCATAAAGGGATTCATAGTAAACAGAATAATCTAACCTAGCTATCATCAGCTTTATAGACTAGGAATGTATTTCAGCTTTGATGATAATGTTTACTTAAAATTGTGTCCATCTTTTTAAATCCACTGTGTATGTATTTTGAAAATTATTGTTTTTTACTCTCATTTCTCTTTTCTTTTCATCCTTCCAGATCAATTGTGTGATTATGACAGCAAGTTTTTCTGAAGACGAAGTGAAAATGGAAAATATCCAGATTTTGAAAAAGACGAGTGATCATCATATTGAAAGATTTAAGTTACCCACCAGTCAATTCTCACAGCTTTCGTGATCGTTTAGTTGGTTAACATCACTAAACAGTCTACTCAAAGCCATTAAGGTCAGTTATCAGGAACTTGTTCAAACCAAGAAGTATTAACATCAGCGTGTCAAAGTCATACAGGCTATAGTCATTTCTAAACCTTACCTTGGTACATACAACACACTCACTGCTAAAATGAAGAAACCTCCGAAGGGTCAGACAACGACCCTTCCTGACATCATGTTCACGAGTACTGCGTCCAGTCTCCCCACCCGTGTCTACATACACACAGGAACCTCCATGGATACGACCCACCCCAAGGTCACCAATGATTCTTCCAACACTGGAGCAGTGCATAATGGCAAATCTGATCAGAATGTCGGAGAAGAAAATGGTACCGAAACTGAGGTCAATGATGGTGTTGAAGAAAATAATGTCAAAAATCACCAGAAAATGGAACACACAGACAATGAAGTCAAAGTCAAGGATGAACGCAAGGACAAATCGAAAGTGCATGGAAATAGTACAAAAGCTAAGGATAAAAAACAGCTTTCCGACAACAAGACAATGAGTAGCGACAGGACACCGGAAATGCAGCCCAGTCCAGATGTTAAAGAGAGTCTAAAACTGCCAGAACTACAACATAACTCTAGGTCTCCTAGTCTGGCGGGTACGCCAAACCGGTCACCTCGCAAGTCGACACCAAGTACTTCGCCCCGGCTATCAGGGGATAAGAGTATCGATGCTGGTAAGGATCTATATGCACAAGTTTTACACAATGCAAGGAAGTCCAGGGCCCAGGATAAAAGTCACAACTTCCCAGATGTCAAGAATAAGTATCTGGACAAACGAGAGAACACCAAGGACCTGCTAAAGAATCAAGAGATGATCCCCATACCATTCTCACATACAGACAGGAAGTGAGTATAGTTTTTGAGATGATCCCTATACCTTCTCACATACAGACAGGAAGTAATTAGTGTTTTTGAGACGATCCCTATACCTTCTCACATACAGACAGGAAGTAAGTATAGTTTTGGAGATGACCCCCATTCCTTCTCACATACAGACAGGAAGTAAGAGTACAAAGACATGATGCTTTAAGTCAGACAGCCCCATTCATCCCATGTATATAACATGTATATCTCCTCCATTGTATTAATTTATATACAAACATCTATAGAAGCAAATGTTTACATTCTCCATCTATTCCATTTTTATTGGTTCTATAGAAAACATGATAAAAATTCTATAAACTTTATAAACATCAAAATTATTTTCAAACAGTTTGTTTGGACATTTTCAATACATATGATGCTTCTTTCATAAAAAAGAACCCATTATCTTTGTCTCTGATGATAGCAACATAATGATTTCTACTTCAAACCCATTAATGATTTATGTTCAACAATGTCAGGAAGGTGTATCAAAGTGTTTGTTTATGAATTATTTTTTATTATTGAAAGCTCCGAAAACCTTACGGCAAAAAAAGAATTATTGACAAAATCAATAAACAGTGCTAACACTAAGGACATCAAAGGTACCATAGATTAATAGTCCTTCTATATTCTCAAAGAGATTCTATGTACAGCACTGCCTCCTGAATCACGTTTACACAACAAAAAACAGTGAATGCTTGTGAGAAAATATGTGGTCATTAATTTTGATCTTCTGAAATAATGGCTGCTATGGTTAAAGAAACTGTCACACCACAGAAATAGGAAAACTTGTAGAAGTAATCATCAAAATAATGTTTTAAAAAATATCGGATGATTTATCGGCAATAAACTCAAGTGTTGGAACTTAACATTATGTAGACCCATAGACAACCAAAATGAACATGACTGTAGGTCTATGGAAATCATCGACTCCATACACCAAGTTGTCTGTGGTATTATTTCCTATGATGTCTAATATTCAATGATAAATAATTATATAAAGTTGTGAGCAAAAAATTGTTCTGTTTATTTACTCTTTTCCTTTACTATTAAACATATTGTCTTCATTTCACAAAAATATATAAAAGTAAATCTTTCTTAGTCAGGGTATGGTCTATTGAAATTTCAGGCCTATAAAAAATCTAAATCTCATAGAGCTATTGTCTATGGCTTGTATATTCTAATTTCTAAGACTGAAATTCAGCAGAATGTTTAAACCAATATATTATTTTTACAACAATTCCTAATTGGACAGATTTGATAAGTAAAGTGGTTGATAAATCGGAATCCTGTACTTGTGTAACTGTGCCGTGTCTTGTATAACCTGGTGCAATATATTGCTGGTCATGCGGACTCAAACTTGGCAGATATCTGGCCCTATTACCTGTATATTACAAAGGCGTGTGTATTGGTCTTTGTAGAGCTTCCCGTTGTAAAACACTCAGATAAATAGTCAATACATTTCCTGATCGAAGATAATATATATAGGGTTAAAATCAAACCAGTCTAATATCAACAATCACGTCTTCCCCAAATGATCTCAATATACTGCGGATGGCATGCCTGTGAGAACTGCACTGGGTAAATATGTACGTGTGTACAATCTTTTTCTGATAAAACAGCCTCCACAGATATTATTAAGGTAAAATAATCGTAGAATGTGTCAATTGCAGTGTACATTACTTGATATGTAGCTGATCCGTCACAGAACAAAGGCCCAGGGTTAAGTAAGCTACGCCTACAAAGGAAGGTCTTTAACACGGCTGCTCGAGATTTATTTCGTCTCACTTGATTGTTTAGGTTTAGTATAAGTGACGGAAACACCATTTAACATATACACTAGCAATTGTTGGGACTTTGTTCTCAGTCACGGCAGTTAATGAGAATGGGGAGGTGCTAGAAGCTCTGTGAAAGGGAGCGCACGCGGTAGAAAGCTGTGGCCCTTTGTGACAGGTGATAGGCTGTATAAATCATTGGGCCCGACATGAATACTTTTGATAATGAAGTGACTTATCCCCATTGTGTGCTTCTGTGTTTGTTTTAGGGTCACTGTGGTGCGAAACGCTATGTATGGCAACTTTCTTCGCAAATCGACCAAGAAACTCCAGGATGATCTGCGTCAGACAATGCGAGTCTACTCCAGTGAGAAGCACGAACTTCTTCGTCAGCTCGCGAATCTACGGCACGAAATGGATGAACTGAAGGCCACCGATAGCAGCTCCTCCCCAACCTCATTTTCTAGCGATTCTTCCTCTGTCAAAAGCACACCACGCTTCTTTAAAGCCCCCAACCTAGCCGCGAACAAAGTCAGAAAGAAAGGAAGGAGACGAAACAATTCTGTAACAAGTGATGAAACAATGGGAAGTCAGAACCAGAAAATCAAGGAAGGAATTTTACGTCTGCCCACCATCAAGGATGCATCTCCTGCCCCTCAGGAGTGGGAGTCCGGCAACTCCATGCACACAACCCTCCCCCCTATAGAGCATCCCAAGGGGCTGGTGGCAGTAAAGGCCCTCATGGACAACAACTTCTCCATTCCCAAAATATCCGACCCCAGTCGGGAGGACATCAGCGTCTCAAGCCTCAGACAACAGTCCAATCGTGAAAAGAAAAAAGTGCATTTCTCTGAAGTGAACAAAATAACAGAATTTGAGGTGATACGATACAATGAAAATGAGGCAAAAAACTGGCGACGTGGTGGGGAAAATAGTCCCCATGACTACTATCGTAAACCCCGTGCCTCAAAAAAGGGAAAGGGTGAGAGGGGTGGATCCAGAGGGACTCTAGCCCCTCTCAAGCGGCCAAACGATCCCAAGGAAGCACAGAAGGTAGCTGCAGAATACAAGTCTCTTTATCTTTCTATTCACGATCCCGAGGAACGGACCAAAACACTGGCAGACATTTTGTATGCTGTTCGCATGCGTATGCAGGAAAACGAACAGAATTTAAAGTTTGGTGAATCACCCCGCCCTTCAAAGACGAACAACACACTGTGCGATTTTCTACTCAGCAACAGTTCTGAAGACCCGCTGTTAAAGGGGGAACCGAACAAGGTAAGCAATAACTATATAGACTTGTAGGGTTTAAGAAAAGGTCCAAGAAAAGGTCGAACAAAACCTGAATGCTATCATTCATTTAGAAATATTTTTAACGAAAACATTATGATTGTGTTTTTATTAATAACTTATTTTTATCAAAACCTTGCTCAGCATTAAACACATCAATCTGAAACTCTTGACAAAGGCAAGGTTAGAATTGGCTGACCAAATCAAATGTTGTAGATTTTATTAAAATCTAAAAATGAAAGCGGAAGGTAAACATTGCAAATTTCTGTTGACCGAGAATAGAAGTCATAAACAGACTTATTAAACATGAAATACTCTATCTTATAGTGTTTACATTACAAATCTGATCCGATATTTTTGTTTTGTATTGCTTTACTGCAAATTCAATTTAATTTTGTTTAAAAAAAATGCAGTCCAGAAATATTTTCTTACAACTCTTTTTCAAAATAATGTACTTATACAAACTGAATTTTTGATTTGTTTCATTAATTCAGTTTATATGGATACATTTTTGTTCACTGTTTATTCCTTTTTAAAAGGTATTTAATTTTAATCATCACTAATCGTATCAGAAAACTGTAATGCGCTTATTTGTTTAAATCTTTATTAAAACAAGATGTGAATGGAGAAATACCAAAAATGTTATTTATCAATAGAAATTTTTAAACTTCTAGAAATAAATATCATAAAATTCAAAAGGTAAAGTAGCTACATTTTTAAGAACTATTTAATAACAACTCGGCTAGGAGCCGATTAGCCTCTATTCACAAATGAACAAACACTTTCAGACGACTGAACTTGAAAGGCTTATATAACCATTATTGTAATTGTCCGAGTTAAGAAGTAAATTTAGGTTAGTGAATTGACACACTTTATTATGGTATATTACATTGGTTTACTAAACAGGACAGCCTGGTTAGTGGGATATTACCTTCATTAAAAACTTCCACTCAATACAAAGTTTAAATGACCTACTCTGTTTGTTCTTAGACGTGTTAAATTACCAATAATCCGTTTGCCAAAACGGCTAAGCTAGCTATTGAAGCTTATTTGACCTGTCTTCTGCAAATTATTTTTTTCAAAACACAGAAATAAATAATTATATTTTATATTGAAAAAAAGAATGAAGAGGGGGGGGGGATCCACTGCTTACACAAGTAATGAGTGAGCAAGTGTCGATAACTGACATTTGTATCTATATAGTGGGAGTTAATTGTGTTTTAAGTGACTGGCAATCAACAGTAGGACACACTATATGAACCATTCCCATATTCGACAGGTCAGATTTTCATGAATTCTAATATATTTAATACTTGTTATACCTAAAATATTTCAAGGTAAAACTCTTGTGATTAGAGTTCTGTGATCAATTTCATATATCAATGAAATTTGTATCATTCTATATAACTAGAATAAATTGTTTGAAATGAATAGAGTAAATGGACCGTAATTAAAAACTATAAAGCCTCAGTTGTTATTTCAAGGAAAAATATTTGAAATTAGAGTCCTGAGATCAATTTCATATATCAATGAAATTAGTATCATTCTGCATTATTGAAATAAATTGTTCGAAATGAATCGAGAAAATGGACCGTAATTGACAACTATAAAGCCCCGAACTAATGTTCTGCCCACTGCTGATAGACATATTGAAGGACCACTGATAGACATACTGAAGGTCAATAAACCAGTAAATATAATGCTCTTTCATATTTGCTCTGTAGTACCTGATCACCTATTATACTTGATAGGAGATTACGAGATACTGTCGTCCCGATGACATGTGAAGTATGTTAAATCACGAGACTGCCAGCTAAGTTCAAGGTAGATTTTAGACTGCCAGCTAAGTTCAAGGTAGACTATGTCGGATTCCAAATTTTACCTTGAAATCCCATGTCATTATAATATCTCTTCAAACATTTTTTTTTACTTTGCTTTCATTTCAGCTAAATGAATTATTAGTGATAGTCTTGAGAATGTGTCAATTCTTAGTTGGTTTGATTTAATGAAGTGAAAAAGGATATCTTAGGCGACAACAAATGTATTTCCCTCTATGATGATAATTAAATAAGAATTGAGTGGACATAAAAAGATAGGTATAAAAAGTGGTCTACTTTTATTTTTTTTAGATTGCAGGGATATTAGAATAAATTACCTATTTATAATATCATTCTACGACAGTTATTTCCTTGTAACACAGAAATGTACCTTGATTTATTGTTAACCATTGTATATCTGCCCCTGGCCAAGGCTCATAGGCCATTACATCACAATAAAAAGAGAGCCCCCCCCCCGAGAGTACTTTAGGTGTATGAAACATTGTAAAGTTGTCCTGATGAAGCCTCACATATCATAGCAAAATTGAAGGCTTTTTGTGCACCACCTTGTGGATAAGACAAGAAGACTAGTTCGATCCTTTGATGTACATCAAAAGAATCTCGCAGTCACGTAACAGTACAATTTGGCAGGTTTTGAAGTCGGGTGTCTTCTTTGTAATCTTCAAAGGGCAGGTATCAGCCTAGCGATTGGTCTGGGTTTTTTTAACCCAAGACCAATCAAACAGCTATCTTTGTGTCTTCAATTTTGCTATGACATATTCCAGGGGTGTAGAGAGCGAAAGTGAGCGTAACCCCTGGATATCGAGGGTGCCTCAACTGTAGAGGCGAAACTAGTCGACCAAATAAATACCCACTCAAACTGGTGACTCCTGAGCTGTGTTGTGACTGGAACCCCTCTCCTTATAGCATTCTATGACAATACAGTTATGTAGATACATATTTTCACACCATGAATAAGATAAGAACTTAAATGAATGACAGGTTTATTATTCAAAAGACCAACAAGTTCCCTTATTTCTAAAACAAATTACTTTGACATGAATTTTTTCACAAACGTAACAAAAGGGCAAAAAACGTTTTTCTGTATATTTCACAGGTGGGGAACAAGTTCCTGGGAGCCCCGAATCATACCGCTGCCAGAATCGGCCGACGATCTAACGCTATACAGCTACAGAACTATTTACGCAAAATGTCAAAGTCGCGTAGGATGATTGAGCATATGGAGGCGGAGCAGTATCGCCTCGCACACATCATGGGCCATAAACACCTGATGGCTGCTTCTCAAGCTGCACAAGCTTAGAGAAAACATTGTGTACCCTCGACGGCTGCATCTCCATCCGCTCACCAATGAAAGTGCTTCTCTCTACAAAGCTACTACAATTACACAATGACTGCTTTTAATTGATGAACCTTACATGCATATCTGTTGGCTAACATGCAGTGCTTTAGTATTTTGGTTATCACACCAAGGGACCTGGAGTGTTCCATCAGCCCTGAGATACCAATGTGGTTCCCATGACTGGGGGCCACTTTCGTAATGTGGCTCTTGCACATCATCTTAGACAGTGAACAAGAGATGAATTTAGTTTCTCAAGCATACAAAGTTAAACAGTTTTTTGGATATATCTCCATTTTTAACAATGGAGGTGGAAACAAAAGTTGGATCACTAAATTCTGCAGCCATGTGATGAGAAATGAGTGGATTTTCATCTGCTGTAGATAGACTGCGACAACCGTGTGGATGGACTGTGACATCCACACCCAACCGTGTGGATGGACTGTGACAACCGTGTGAATGGACTGTGACAACTGTCTGGATGGACTGTGACAACTGTCTGGATGGACTGGGCCAACCGTGTGGATGGACTGGGACGAGCATATGGTGATGGTGTGTTTTATAGAAACTGACCTGATTGCCTACCAATCATATATGTGATTTCTGGTGTTGTTCTGTGATAGTGTGGTTCTGAATGTATGAACGTAGCCCTGACTCTAAGTGTGATCTCCTATACTGTGTAAACACTACTTAATCAATTTAAATATGAAATTCCGTGGATTTTAACAGGACATGTTTAATTCCGAGAAACTTGACATTACTCTATCATGATGAAACTCGTTGTTGACCATAGACACTAAAATGGACCTGTTAAACTGGAAACCACATCTATTGATGTAGATATAAGTGCTGAGGACTAGATTTGTGAAGATCTGTTTGCCCCCGATGTTTGACCAGGACAATGGGCAGGATGTTTCACTTAAACACTAAAATGGTCATAGTCTTTTTACTGCTGATCACGGTTTAATGTTGCTCAAAATTGTTACGATAAAGAATTTGAAGATGTGCCTTACAGATATAAATGTGTGCCCGATAGCCGTTCTATTGGTTCTTTCAGCACACTGTGAACTTTTCACACAATGTTGTTCTGTTTTCCTACAAAGAGTCTAAAATAGTTTTACCATATAGACAAAGGGGTGAGAGTGTTTCACAGCTCACTGATAACAGAAAACAGGTTCATTTTATAACCAACATGTCAGTTGTATGACGGAGCTGATAATGTACTTGTACATATAATAAATATTTATTTTTCTATCATTCTTAAGTTGGCTGTAACATACAAGTTCTTTATCATTAAAACTGGTCAATTTAACTATGACAACTGTGCTATATTTAATGTGCCCATATGGTAACTGTCCTACTGTGTCCATGACAACTGTCGAGTGGTCAGTGACAACTATTGAGTGTTCATGACAACTGTTGAGTGTTCATGACAACTGTTTTATTGTGATTATTGTACAACTGATCTGTGTCTTTGACAACTAGCATATCCAAGTTCTATTTTTCTATGTCGGTGACAACTATCTCTTTTTTGTCCACTTTGATTGTTCTACAGTAAAATTCTTCGATGATAACTGTTTGACTCTGTTCATGACAACTGTTTTATTGTGTCAGTGACAACTACCTATGACAACCTCTAGTGTGTCCAATACGATTGTTCTGCAGTATTATTGACTACAGTGACAACTGTTCGACTCTGTTAACTACAATAGTTTGTGTCAAAGACAAATGTTCTCCCCTACAGTATTTAACATAATAAAATAAACACATATCTGTGATTTTCCAGTGACATAGACACTGACTGATGTGTATTCAACCTAATGGCAAAACCATTTCAAAGAGGAGCTAGGTACATCTTTACTGTCAACTGATTGTAGGGATAAGCCGGGCCCTCTATGACAACTATTTAATTAAGTAATGCTGAAAATTGGTAATAAATGTGTGACAAAAAAAATAATCTTAAGTTGTTTTGTCTTAAGATTTGCAACACTCCTATAAACCATAACTAAACTTATATGTTCAAAGTTTTAACTATTTATCACACTTTTGTCTAATAAACCCCAAATACAGACCATCCTACAGACTGCCTCAACAGCAGCTCAGAACTCATCTATTCACGTTCACACGAGACAACACAAAGGTTACAGTTGAGAAATGTAAATCAATAGCTTGTTTGATTGTATTTGTTCAGGACAGTATAAATGTTTACAATCTGGTTCCAGATTTAACGCTAACAAGCTTCTCCATCCACTATGTGCTATAGCCAGCCACCCATGTAACATTCACGTACATTTCCCAGATATTGGAAATCCATCTTCAAACCAGGTTTAATAGAAACTAATTATTACCAATTTAGAAATCTCCAATGCTTGGTATATCACAAGACATGTATGTCTCTGCAAAGCAGTTGATTGTGTGTATTGTAATTCTTATATATCACATATTGTACTGTGCTATCCAGTGAATTTACCCATGTCATATTTCTTTTGCATATTAACCCATGTAATATGATCTATCATTCCTGTGATTGGTTGTAAGTTTCAATTGTTTCAATTGTGACGTCTCGCCTAGGACAAGTACATGACGTCACAGACCTACGCACTGGAGTCAAAATGGCAGCTTTTTACATTTCAAGGTTGCATGAAAATTGTCGTTTTACACGAATAAATGCCACAAATCTTGATTATGTGATAAAAAGGATCTTACACTCGTTTTCATTTCATATGAAGTTTATGAAACGAATTTCATCAATCTCATATGAAGTGGAAACTCATGTAAGATCCTATATATATCAAATTTCTTATTTGTTGGTCCCAAGACTTAATTCAATCAAACAATTTCCAACTGCATGTTGATTTTTTTTTCGAATGAGGAACAATATTTTATAATTATCACCACACAACAGTGAATCTACAAGTTCAAATTTCACTCTGACCATTGATTACCCATTGACATCTTTGTTTCTATTTACGATAAATAAACTTGCATTTATGACTATCGCCAACAACTGTTTATTTCAGTCAATACTGGCATTGATTTCCTCGTGGGTTTTATTACTTCCGTAACATTTCAATCATCACCTACGACCCCTATATTCAGTCATTATACTATACGACCTGGATCAAACAATTGCCTAGTCCAATCACCAATAAGGACGTTTGTTACCTTAGGTGTTCAGTTATCCGTAAGACAGGCATAAAATCCAATATTTACCTGTGGTTTTTACCCGACACCTTCCTTTGTCCAACAGGTATGTTGATATGTAATTGTCACAAAGGAATTACATTTAAAGGAATACACATGTAGGTCCACCTAGGGGTGAATGTAATACAACACCAGGACTTCTGACCATTAGTCAGCTCTGTATGACAAAATTCATTTCTCTTCCACTTGATTTTAGTTCTGTATCATTAGATTCCACCATTTTATCCATTAAGTGAACCTGTGTCAGAATCTAATCACCCTTTGACACCTGGCCTTTGTTAGAGGTCTTAGACATTGATATGTGTTGCATTTCATTACAATAACCACAATAAAATGACTATATATAGTTTTCTTAGATCTTTAACTTGTTAGCTTCCACATTTGGTCGTTTTTGTTTGTTTTTGCATTTTTATTTTGAATTTTCTGCATGCTGCATAATGTGCTCCCCTATACATAAATATTGACTTTTTTTTCCTTTTTTTATTTCAGTTTGCTAATTATTTCAAAAGCCTGATGTCTCAAGATGATACATTTGATAAAGTAAATTGTTCACTTTAAAACCGCCTGTAAGCCCTGTAAAATTGCAATTATTGCTGTATAACTGAATGGAGTAACTGAAAACATTGTCTGTAAACTTATGCTGTGTAAAATTTCCTTAAAACTGGTAAAAGTTAATATCAGAAACTGCGATAAAACTCCTGTAACTTCCATCTTGAATTCTAGCACAAACAAGCCACAGGCTATTGTACATGTGGGTGGTGATGTTATGTGGTTACATTTAGAAAACAATAGCACCACAAGTTTCACAGTGAGGTAGTATCCAACACAGCCATGCAGTCGCTGTCATTAACACTTTCGTTACTGAATTAAACTGCATGATGGGTATTCTGGCCCTGAGATTATTTGCACGTGTCTTTTCCTGGCCTGAATTAATTCAGGACAATTGACGTCTCATTTTGACTACGTACTGTTAAACACGATTTCTGTAGAAAATACGGCGTGGAATAAGTTCTCTGGCATAGATTTATAAAAGGAATACTTAAAGCTTCCATTTTTATTAATGCATGATGCATCAGGGCTTAAAGGGTTAATTAACAAAGTCCTGCTAGCAGCTGGCAAAGAGTTATTTTACAAACTGTTAATTAAAAGAACAAAAGATGATTTTACCATAGGGCTCCTACAAGATTATCTTCATCTTTACATTTAACTTGTCCTATTTCATTCGTTGATAGCATATTCACGATAATAAGCCCACCCCTATTGTTAAACATATATGTTACCATCAGTAATAAGCCCTCTCACACTGAACCAAAGATGAATAGAAGCCCACAGATGGAATCCAGCAAGACATATTCAGAATTCTGACACAAGTTGCCCTAGCTAGCTCTGAACCATGGTCTATCAGAACATTAGGGATTATACCTTTTACCAATTGCTCTTTACAAAATATACATCATGGCTAACCACAACTTACTTCTTTATCCCTCAGAAAAATAAGCCAATTGGTAAATTAACAAGAAAATGTTATTTGTTCGTATTACAGTAAGGCCAATCAAATCAGACGGCAGTGATCAATGAATATGTCTCTATATGCTAGTGCACTCTGGTAAACAAGACCTTAAACACGCGAGTTCTGGAATAGTGACAATATGACACTTATACGTAGAGGTTCTCTAACATGAAACACACATGCAGCTTTAACCCTTTCACCACTGTAGACCATAATGGACTTGTCCAGATCAATGCATGGTAGAGTCTACTAAAGTTACATAGGGGTGAAAGGGTTAATGACCAAAATACATCTGTTTGATAACAATACAAAATACTAATTAGATTACTTGAACTTGTGACAGAGACTAAGATGAAATGTACACATCTGTGAGTGGCTAAATCTACTCAATATTGCTTGCAGTACTTGTACGAGAAACACGATTCCTGTCACAGAGAGCGGAGTGACTATGTCCATCAGGACTTACAGCTTCTCTGTACGTTGTTAAACATATCTGGTTCACCAGCACTTTTACTAAGGTTCTAGAACAATGATTGAACTAGAATGATATATATCCCTAATCACTATATAAGTATATGTACACATTTGTTTTTTCTATTTGATTTTATTCCGATTGAATATACATTCTGTCCGACGGTATATCAACAATGATAAAACAGAATTTGACAAACACAGAAAAACTTAAGTAGGTATCAAACAGTAGGTCATGACCTCCGTAAATGTTCGAAAACTTGTAAAGAAATGGACAACCCATTAATGTGAAATGCCTGTCATACACTAAGGGAATTTAGGTCTGATTGAAATCTTACAGCTTGTTTAAACTGTGTGCGGACAATTCAAACAACAGTATTTGATTTCTGTTATTTAAGTGCTGTGTTCTATATCAGCTGTCAGAGTAATGTGAGGTGTCACTTTCTGTGAAAGTATGTCATCAAATAGAACATATAGGGTATTATTTAATGAAATATATAATACAGGTTAAGTAAAAATTCTGAAATGGAAAGTGAAAATTGATATGTGATTATTGTCATACCACATAAGGACAGGTCACAATGAACAGGTAAATACTTTCATCACATGAGGACGGTCATAATCAAGGAGTAATTATACTCATACCACACAAGGACATAGGACACCCAGATACTTTACACACTAATACACGAGCCCATTGCTCAATAACAGTTAGAAAATGTGAAGTTAGTTTCAGTGTTCGATGTTTGATGGGACGGGACGGGATGGGACGGACATGGGCAACATTATATGCCTCCCCCCCCCCCCCCCCCCATTTTATCGCGGGGCATACAAACTTTGCAACTTTTATAAACACAGAAATAGGTGTTACAGCTAAATGGACACTTTAAATGCAATCTGAAAACATTTCAGACATGATGTATCATTAATTGAAAATAAAAATTGAAATTTTCATGACCAGACTAGATGTTGTATTGTACAGTAGCATCAATTGTGATATCTCTCAATTCATTTGCTTATCAAAGTCCTACACTTCTTATTTCTTACCAATTCCTTTTCATCGATCCTCTCCCTTGATATATCACCAAACCCCATTATATTGCCAGTTTTTTAATGCTGTAAAACTAGTGACAGTATAAGGAGGTCATGATCATTTTACTGCCTCCAAGGACTACGAGGATGTGCGGTCAGCCGGTACACAAACCACTACTTTCCACACTTTAATCACAAGTAATGAAGTCCCATTACAACCAAACACCCAGAGGACCCTCCTTATGTCCCTAACTGTGGATAAAAGGTAATCGGACCCAAAGGGGAGGCTATTTCTGTCCAAGTCATCGTTTCAGACTTTTAGAATATTAATGAGGCTATAGGGGATGGGACTATATTACAGTAGGATCATTTACTCCCACACTTCCCCTCAGTACATGTATTTACTCATGTAAATATAATGATAACTCCATGCTTTCCATAAGGGGATTTTTTTAGCTTTATTACTTAGTCTGTTATCGACTTAAACACAAACTTAATTGGCCAGACATACGCCAGTGACGTAACACTATTTCATGGTGGGGCACAACATTGCACTTTGTCATTTAATATACATAATGAAGGAACATTACTGCATTGTAGAACTTAATTGTGAGGCCATTAAACGAATGGACAGATTTCTACTTGTGTTAGACAACATCGAAATTTTATCCAAAACCAAGCGTTATATCAATAGTCAACGTCTTTTTCAAACAAGTATATATACATGCTCAAATAATTACACAGTAGGTAAAACAAGCATTGACGAGACCATGACGTCAAAACCAGGTCACATGACATATGAGGATTCCATTGTTACGTTCTGTGTAAAATTGTATGTCGTCTGGAATGCTGCACTTACAAATAATATTTGTTGGGAGAATAAAATGCTTAAGTGAAAAAACGTTCATTTTGAAAAGCTAGCTTTAATAACAAATTGCAATATTTATTGTGAATTTAAAAGGTACGTACTATAGTTTCTGTAGTTTCATTCACACAGTTTGCTGCAAATGTTATCAACAAACATTTCAGACAATACTGGTACATTATATACAAGAAAAGACTTTGACCTTGAGATGGAGGTCACAGTAACCTAAATACCATACACTGGTCAACCTCTGTGGACGATTCAGACGTCATCAAGATTTCCCCATAGGTTTATAATTTATAGCCCAGACATTTCTTTCTAAATTGCACCTGTTTTATCTTTGACATACAGGTGAAGGTCACAGTGACCTAATTTCATTGCATTATGAATGCAGGTATACATAAAGTTTTGTCAAAGCTCCAACACGATTTGATGCAGGTATACTTCAGGTTTTTATCACAATTCTTTTAAGATATTATTAGAAGACCATGCGCTAATTAAATAAGTCCCCCTTTATTTGAAAAGAAGACCTCCACGTGACAATATGGTTCTCCACTGATAGACAATAGAGCAAACCTACGACAGGTGTATAAACAGATGTAAGTACAGGTATGTATTACTCACAGAGAGCTGGAGCGCGACAGCACCACAGGGTTGTTTTTCCTCCGTAAGATCGGGGATGGATCAGGGCTAGGACGTGTGTACTCTTTCCGTCGGAACACTGGTGACGGTCCTGGGTCAGATCTCCTGTGATGGAACATATAGTCTTGGCATTAGATTGATAGAACCCTTCAATCCCCTTGTAGGTGTAATAGGGAGATCTACTAAGGTATTAATCTTTTAAGAGTTAATATTCATAAGTTGTCCAACATCAGGTGGTTTTTTGGCAACTGAGGAATCTAGGAATCTTTCCCTTATAGCCGAGATGTCCCCCATCTCACCCCATGTGGGTGAAGGATTCTTTTTCTCTTACCGTTCTATATAAGTAATACAATGTTTTTGACTGGAGAATCCCCTCGTTTCAACCTAAGGTCAAAAGGAAATCTCACACCAGGAAAGTGTGCAGGATACAAATGTCCAGGGTAAGAGGAATTAAAGTGGACAAATATTCTAATCTTAAAACATTTCTAACATTAAGTATCATGACATAAAGAAGTCTGACGATAGATATAATGGTCTCGAGTATCTCTTGTGGACAGTTTAACGTCAGTTGTAAAGGTCCTTCCACAATCATCTCTAATGCAATAAGAAGTCTAACATTAGACATAACAGTCCTACTCGGGACAAACACTAAACGTCATATTCATACTTAAGTAACCCTTGGATCAGAGGATGCTCAATCATCATTGTAATATTGCACTAGATAACTTTTCATTAAGAGATTACCGTGGTATATTGGAGGAGGCGACTTTGATAGGCAACTGTCTGGGTGGAGGCATCAAAGTGTGACTCTCTGTCCCGTTGAAGACCTCAGGCAGCGGTTTCCCTGACTGGTCTGCATGCTCCTCTTCTGGGGTCTCAGGTAGGGTGCGGAGGGGCGGCTTCATGTCAAACATCGGGCCGTCTGCGTACAACAGTTCGTCCGGTGTGGCTGTCCGCCTGCGAGCCTATAATGATCAAAACTGTTTGACACATCCACTATTTTCTGTTGGAATCTTGTTTATCCAGATTTCAGAAATCCTTGTTCTCTGGGTACAAATATCTAGAAAGTTATTTCCTTTAAGTTAAATATTGGTTAATTCCATATTTTGAGAAATATGTTTTGAATAGTCTAGAATAACAAGGTTTCAGTGTACACGTAGTGTAGACTACCTAATGTCCCTTTAAAATTAGTTCAGGAACAGGAGCGTTATTTAATACAGAGATGAAAAATACATAAGATAGAACACACTTGTGTCAATATAAGATCTATTATGTTAATAACATATAAAACATTAGTTCATTTATTAGAGCCGTTCCTTATATTGAGACACTCAACTTTTCCTTAAATCCCTTGTTTAATAGGAAGGCTTTATATTTTCTGCTTAGATATATTAATTTGAACATCCAAAATATATCATCTGTTACAGAACAACAGAATCATGGGAAACAGTGCAAAACACTCAATTTCTACCCAAAAAACAACACGATGAATTCATCCTGATATAAATTTTGCATTAAATTACGAAAAAAATTAAGATATGAATAGAAATTATTAATCATATCCTAATCTCAAGATTTTTTTTTATAATTTTAAGTACTTTTTAGGTGTTATACAGTATATTATTCAATACTGGTATATTAATTCATTAAAAAAGCTTGAAATTGAAATTGGAAATAATTGTTAATTATTCTTAGCAAATGTGGATAGATGAAGTAAATGATATAAAAGCATTTAATAAAACACTTAAGTACTGTAAATATAGAATCGAATATTTTACAAATGGGCTACATAAAAGTACATACATAAATATTCCATAACTACGTATACTATACTGCAGAATTCATCAGCGCATGGGGTTTAAAAATATATATATTTATCTTTTTCATTTTCTTCTGATCAGAGAAGTTGGTACAGAGAAAAGATAGTTTTCTTTGTTATTTAGGATATGGAATAAACCAGAAATTGTGAAAATTGACTATGATTTATATCCAATTTCACGAGTTGAATCTCAAATATAATCTGAAACTGAATTAAGCTTGTAAGACTGGTTATACTTGAAAATATGACTTAGCATCCGGCAATCCATACTCATACATGTTTGGACAATCGAAAGTAACAAACCTCACCATCGAAAATGGTACTTGCATACAAAATTTAGCTTTTTAGGTTACAAGTGAATGAGAATGTGACAGATGCTAAACAAAGGGCCACAGGGTGAACATGAAATCTGTTTACAGTATGTGACACTCAACCACACCATGTGGTATTCGCATACAAAATTTGGCAATTGTACGAGACAGAGTATATAACATATACTTCAGAAAAAGTAATGAATGGTGAACAAAGGGCAATAACTCTGTACTAGCGAGGATATTTTGATCTAATTTCATTTCATGATACGCCTTCATCCTAGCTGTATTTGTGTACAGAGTTTGGCATTTGTAAGTGATAAAGGTTCATTAACATTAAGAGATACTCCCAGACAAAGTGCCACACTGACAGACAGACTGATTGAGAGACGAAGGGATAACCGGAGTATAGTAGTACGAGTGGGGGACTGATAAACTCGATCTCTTAGATATAAATCACAATCAATCATCACTCATCAGCCTACCTTTATATATAACAAGGACATCATATACATACAATTACAGTTAAATATTGGTTTATCATAAATATGAAATATACATGCAAGTACAGGTCTATATATAAATATACAAAGGTCATACATAAATGCATTTATATAAATATTCCCCGCCATGATCAGCAGCATCCCCAACCTGTCGTTGCCATGGTGATGGATACACATCATATATAATGGTGATCATTGTTAGAGCATATCATAGTTTACAATCATTACAATATAATGACCAAGGCATTTGGATGTAACCAAGGTTATAAAATATACAATCATTTTCCTCAATCATCAGGCAAAATTATCTTGTCATATACTTTGGAGGGAAAAAAGAACAAATTTAGATTCTGAAGCAAATCACTGGTGATTTTTATCAAAAAATAATTGTGTTATAAAAACATCACTTCAAAAGTGTAAAACAAATCACAAATCAAGAAATTCTCCATTCAATCACATCAAAAAAAAAAAATTCAATTAATTCAGTCAATTTTTTTTTCTTTCTTAACAACACAAAAGTCTAATCAAACATTAATATCAAATTCAAGTCTAAGAAAAACAAGTAAGCAAAGTTTGATGAAGTCCTATAATTATTTGAAGCTAGATTCAGTAAGTTGAAGCCTGTGATACAGAAACAGTGTTAGCCACCTCCTGATAACAACATAACACCATTGGTACGTTACTTGAGCAGAACTTGTGCTCTTGCTTCGATTCCTCAAGCGGTGACATGCATGCAGCTGAAAATTGAAAGTAAATCTTCCAATTTTGGTCCTTCAATGAATTCATAATTGGAATACACTGAACACGGACAATTTGACAGCGTTCTTATCGGAAGGGAGATAAGTCCTGTCCGACGTGTTCGGCAAAAATTGATGTCAAATTAATGTTGGGTATAATAAAGAGTACCAGGTGTTGATATAAACTCATTCACCCCTGACATTTCATAATGAACTATTCCATCCTTTGAATTGGAAGAGTTCAAATGTGTCTTCAGGGGTGAATGATTTAAGGAAATACAAAATATCATGTTCATATTTTGTCAGTAGGCATACAAATTTGAACTTTATTACAGAGGAGGTAGAAACTTAAAATCAGTTAAACATATACTACGGATAATCCAATATTTATAATTCAAGAAAATGTATAAACTAAAATACCTTTGAATGAAAAAGAGGCATGTACGTAGCTGATAATGTTCTATATGGGTTATTGCAATAAATATGGCATTCTCTACACTTGGAGGCAGTTTTATACAAAATAATATATTTCAAAAATGCAAATATATAAAAAGAATACGATATGGTATAGTGTAATATCATGTAAGTAATATGTAGATATGTGTCCCAGGTAAATCTCAAGAAAGACAATTTAGGTAGAAGTCTATAGGACAGGAAAATTGTATAGACTGATATGACAGGGTTCGGGTTCTATAGAGGTAAATCTAATTGTTACTGACAAAGAAAGTGTTATGTAGGATTGGGTAATGACTATGACTGCTTGGCTATCCATTTGTGTCTGAGGTCGTTCTGAGTTGGTGACACTGCACTTCATACAACTTCTATACAATATCACCCTCATTTGCCTTATTCCGTCTATGCGTATTGCAGAGTTATCTTCTCTTGGGAGCAGGTGTTGATAGTTACGTCATTGGTTTGTGTGAGAAAATAACGTCGTTTTCACAAAAATTGATGACGTTAACCTCTCAAACAAGTGACGTAACAATCAATACCTGCTCCCAAGAGAAGATAACTCTGCAATACGCAAAGACGGAATACCCTTCCACCAATATATTTCCTAGGTCCCCTTTTACTTTTTCTATTAACAAAAGTCTCAAGATGTACCGCTAAATCACTGTAAAACACCAAAACTTCCCAGAACAAAAGATGACAGTATGCACTTAACATTGTGTTAATAAGTTAGTAAAGAGTTTTGATTTCACATACCAAGGTTTCAAGCTAGACCCGAAAGATGTTTCTCCTCATCCGCGGTTTATAACTACATCTTGGTTCAGTCTTCCATCACATTTAAGGGTTTCTAACTACATAGGGTCTCTATCTAGCATGCTGGTATGTAAACATTCAAACATTTTAGCAGGGTTTTTTGTAATACATTTTCTAATATGAGATTATTTAAATTCAACATTTATTCCGCTGTCTCCTATCAGTTTGAAAGTATTAATGTTATGATATATATGATGATAGAAAAGGTATGTGTTGTGTATGTAGAGGCAGAGTCTGGGGGACACATATCTACATTTCATATTAAAAGTCTATAGCGTAGTGTTATGTATATGCTGTACTTACCGGTAAAGACCTACGAAACTCCTACAGAGCAAACAGTCGAATACATTTACTGCCAACGCCAATCACACATGTTATACAGGAGGGTCGTTTAACATGTAACAATAGGGATGGTTCAGGTAAGGGGGTGTCAAACCAGAGTATGCCCATTAGTACCCATACATCTTCTCTGTATCTTAAGACATATCTTGTAATATCAGTTTCATTTTCATTTTTTTATAATCGAGAAAAGTGAAAAATGCTTGAAATTATTCTTCATGTATATCTTTATTTTTATTTCACCAATCAATAGGGAAATTTATTGAGAAGTGCACTATTCTTCAATTTAATTTTAATCTGAGGGCTTGGATTGACAACTACCAGCACATGTGAGTTCTAATTCTGCTGAACACTAGTCCTCCAAATCTCACACTTGGTTCTTTCCATTAGGACCTTACTTCCCGTTCAGTTTAGTGACCAAGTACCAGTGTACTACTAGCCTTGTACAAACTGACCAATAACAACATAGCGACCAATCTCCATCAAAGCGTGATCTATCCAGGTCTCTTAACTCATTCATCTCTGAAATTTCATAATGAACTATTCCAACCTTTGAATTGGAAGGGTTGCAATGTGTCTTAAGGGGTGAATGAGTTAATGAAAACCAGTTTAGATGGAAGAACCAGCAACACAGAACACCAACAACATGTTTACAATCGACACAAAACAGTTCCACAGGACAACGTTTTATACTTCTTTTAAAAAAAGTTTATCAAGGACAGAGTTTTTCCATTTATGCAAGAACAGATAAAGGGAGATAACTCTGGTAACTTTGGCTATGATGTACCAATCATCAGTATCAGGTGATTGCTTACTATAGACGTTTGCCAACTCATTCATCCCTGAAGGCACATTTGAACTCTTCCAATTCAAAGGTCGGAATAGTTCCTTATGAAATTTCAGGGGTGAATGAGTTAAATGAGATTGTAGGACTGTTCATAACAGGTGTGAAATCTAACGTCCACTATTTATTTCACATTGTCAAAGCTTTCCAAAAAACAATGCTTGCAAACAGAGAATATCATTAATACAAAATTTATTTAAAAGCAAATTTCTGACAATGACAAAACACATGTGCAGATACTACCTGTAACATGCACTACGTAAACCATGCTGTGACTTTGTATTTAATTATTAACAGATCTTGAAATAAATTAAAACAAATTTCTACAACAATAGCCATATTTACAACTATTTTCATTCTTTTCTCTTTTAAAATGTTACAATTGCTATTTCAACCATGCCATAAATTTGTATTTAATAAAAAAAAAAAAAAAAGGGTCAGCCCTGTGAGGTCAAGTTTCCTATGACATCTGTAATTTTTTTTTTTTTTTCATTTTGCTATAGATTTAATATTTTAATAGAATTGTCATACATGTATAAAGTACTTGATTAAACAATTACTAAGCATACTGCTTTTGGACAAAAAATTGTGAAATGAAAGGAAAGCAGGACACAAAACACTGATACGGTACAGGTTCAAAGAAAAACACACAAGGACAATTACAGAAGGAAACTGAGGCCAATCACAAATGTACATATTACAGTTATATAAGGTACTGTAAATACCTGCTGCGCACACTCGTAATATAAGGGCCGAGGTGGAAAAAACATCTTCATAAATGCTCTCTCCAGTCTCTTAAAGTTCCTATGGAAAGGGGGTATAAACATATGGACTCAAAGCTACAGGTAGGACAGACTATGTGACCCTGACACTTCCATACTGTGTTACAATAATTTTCTACCTCAAATTTGGTTTAATGGAATTAATTTCTTTCCTTAACTTGCACAAGTCATTCTTAAGAATGTCTTGTATTCTCTATAGCTTCCTTTACCAATAGACAGACATAAGTTCAAATCACAATTTCTACTCCAAATTTTAGACTTAAGAAAGTATCAGCTAGATATCAGCTTCCATCTTTGATTTATTATACTTTCTACAATAATTTCTCCCAATCAGTATTGCTCTGAGAATATTCAGTGTATCACTGTATGGGAAACAGTGTCAGAGTCAACAATATCCTTAACCTTTGACCTTTAACCCTTTCACCACTGTAGACCATAATGGACTCATTCAGATCAAAGCATGGAAGAGTTTACTAAAGTAACATAGGGGTGAAAGGGTTAATATACCACATTAGGCTGGTCAAATTAAAATTGTTAAAGAAGCATAGGAACAGCAATGTAAAAATGTCATCCTCATCACTGAAAAGAAAAGTTAAGGTCCAGTTCCTGACCACAGGAAGATAACAACAAAATGTCTAAATACCTTGTCTCGTTTGCCCAAATCACCAAGTACCATTCCTGGGGGTAGCTGAGCAGGCTGGGGCGGTACCTGGCTCTCAAACATGCTGTCCATCAAAAGCAATGGGCGGAGTCACAGTCAAAGATCCACCAATGAAAACACAGCAAAACCACAAAAAGGTGCCAAACAGAACATAAAAAGGAAAGGAAAAAGAAAACAAAATAAAGCCGAGTCAGAATCTCGTCATGCAAAATTATAAATAAATCAAAATCAAATAAACAATAAACAAAGCAAAAAAAATAATTAAAAAAAATGAATTTTCCAACATCAATTTTCAAAAAGATTTCTGTCTGAAGAAAGCCATGAAAAATGGTTTTTTTTGAGAAATCAATGTCAAAACTTTCATTACTATAGACTACAGTTGAAAGAAAACTGGAGGTATTTGTACTCGAGAGAATAAGTCATCAGTGTAGATAATACTCTGCTGACAATACACAGAATCAGGTAAATAGAAAATTCTTCATCTGAAAACTGAAAATTGGTTTACCTCCAGAACAAAAATATGTACATAACATGTACTCTTTAACAGAAATCTACTAACACCATGTAAAGCAGACAAATAAAACCAGACTGTCACCAACAATGTCAAAGTTTAAAACTGAAAGATTATAATACAACAAGGCCTACCTTTTCCCCACAAGAACTTGGTTAGTCAGACGAAAAACATTAGTCCATTAATACGCGACAGTGTTACCGTGTGTATAAACAAATATTCTGTATAGAAAGTGCCTGAAGAATACACACATTAACATTCATAGTTAGTCTAATTGATATATAAATGTGCTCAAAAAGGTGATATGCATTATTTCATCTTCAATACAGTTAACCCAAGACCAAAGTGTATGTTTCAATGCAACAGGCAATGAAGATAACTTAACACATATACTTTGACGGCATTCATTCGTTTTGTCACACTTTCAAGTTTTGATACAAGCCAATGACACAAAATCTCACCTATTCTCAAAATATGAAGAATGAAGATGATTACAAGATGACAGTTAACTCATTCACCCCTAAAATTTTATAATGAACTATTCCAACCTTTGAATTGGAAGAGTTCAAATGTGTATTCAGGGATGAATGAGTTAATGGGCTCTAGTTTTATGAACTGGTGATGGAATGTATATCTCATCCTCACGATCTGGTTTTATATACATTACAACAAGGCCACGTACAACACACACAGCAGTATACAGGTACTAGTAATCAGCAAGCATTCAGGTAGCTTCATTCCAGATTTCTAACTGAACCAAAATTCTAAAACCATGAATGATGTGCAACCAAATAACTACAGAGTGTATGATTACAATCATCTACAGGTTACAACTACAACACTGAAATAAAACACAATCTTCTCATACACACAAATATGTCAACAACATAATGCAAAGGAAAATACAATTAAAATCATGAAGTGGATAAAATGTATACAGTACAATATATAGTGGGTAAATACGGTATGAAAAAATAACACTGACGTACCCACTATTATGTACTTTCAGACCCAGAAGAGCTCCAACAGTACAAAACACACGAGCACTGCCGCAGCAAAGCAACAAAAGTCACTACTACATGTGGTACTGTACGGAGAAGGACAGACAGAGGAGGAGCCGAGAAACACAAACCCAGTCATTATTTACGAGGTGGTTGTGGCCATGGTTGGCGGACACGCAGCGATAAGTAAAAAGGAGAAAACAAGAAAAAATGGGTTATTATTGGTTAATGAACTAACAAGGTTCTCCCTTCATTAATATTTGTCCCCGATTCATATTAGTATCAAATAATCCTACAGCCACTATTTTCTAAGTTAATATTTTTTTCAAATGATGTGTCAAAGTTAGTTTGAAAACAAAAACAAAAAAAATCCTAACTAAATCAACAACCACAATCTGAGAAGAGGAAATCAGAGTTATAGCCCTTTATATACATATTTTACATCAAATTGCTCTCATTAATTGTAGTGAACAATTTATTTAGCCCAAAATTGTCGATTTGTCACCACATTTGTCAGATCAACAAGTTCTGAACTATATGTGATATCTTTTCTGGTAAATAAAGTCAGTTCATACCTTGTCATTTTTGACCATGGTTTGATGTCCTCTGACCAGATAAGGTAGTTAGTAGTTATGACAGTGACTTTTGTTAGTTTGCCTTCCAATCACATTCCAATCAGTACAATAACAAAGCAGTGCCTGGACCCTAAAGCTCAAATTTTCATCCATTGAAATTTCCACCCACCAAATTTTTACCCACCAGATTTTCACCCACCAAAATTTTTACCCATTAAAATTTTCACCCACCAAATTTTCACCCATCTGGTATTGAAAACAGATTCACCAAGCATTGGATTTGCCTACCCATATACATACCAGATTTGCTAAATATTTGAACAATACTTTTTTCATTGGAGATGTATTTTTTACCTGAGTTAAATTTGAACCCCATTTAAGGCTGAGATAGGGGGAATCAACACATTAGAAGATTTTCTGTTTATCAGTTTGTCTATTGTTCTATAATTCCACCATAAATCTTTGTCGTAGGAGTAAAGGTACAAATATCAAGAAGATTCAACATATCTAATACTATGTATTTAGTTACCATACAGTTCAATCAGGTATCAATTCTCTAAAACAAATAGCTCAAGTAAATTATATGAATTTAAACAAATAATTTAAGTATCTTTCCCTATACTATCACTTCTGTATTGTCGAAAACTTTTATGAAAGAAAAAAAATTCTGCACTTTCTTAAAGTAGAAATACACTGATCAGCTTTATCTATCTTTTTAGATTATATAGAAAAATAATGTTGAAAGAATAGGGAACAAATTGAAGGAGGCTTATTGACAGAAGTGAGAGTCCAAGTACTGCTTTTGAGGAGGAACTATGCAAATCAAACTGAAAGACTAGGAATGACAAACAAAGGAGATAAACGGGACACTAGTTAACCCTTTCACCCCTATGTAACTTTAGTAGACTCTACCATGCATTGATATGGAAGGGTCCATTATGGTCTACAGTGGTGAACTGGTTAATCAAAGCTGTTGAAGCCGAGGTCAAGGTTCAAAGAGCAAACTTTCGCAATCATTCCGCAACATCACACATCAAAACTTATCATTCAAACATTGTAAACCATCTATGGACTATGTATTGTTGATTAAAGTATCATTGGAAATTCAGGTAATCAAAACCTTTCCACAAAACATCAAATTATAAAATCAAGATGAATTTACTTATGTTTTTATAGTCCATAGGTGGGTCCAATCACAGAAAAATCTGTTAATATCAAGTAACCATGGGAACGGTTCTGGGTAAATAACACAACTGCACACTTCACAATTAAGAATCCCCACCATTCTCAAGCCCCCTATGTAACACTAGAAATTTGTAATCAGTACATTTTATTCATTTCGAAAAGATTTAAAAAGCAAAATAAAACAATAACTTGTGATAACACCTACATGTATGTAAGCGTCTACGTAACATAATTTCTATATAGACTTGTGTATGATGTTGTGGTGTGATATTGACATCAGGCTACACCCACAGTGATGCTATGTGACACTCACGTTTGAGTATCATCTGATCTATAAACATATAATGAGCTGTCATATGACACCAGCATTTGAGTGACATGTGATCTGTCATGTGATATCTTAGGTGTCATGTGACACTAGCATGTGCAATGTGTTGTTTATTTACTCGCAGTGCTGATGTATGGTGGACAGTGTTGGGTGTATGACATTAGGTCAAGGTCATAAAGGGTCATTATGGGGAAAAGTCATATATGGAGGCCAAAATAATTTGAAGAGGGCAAGGTGGTTTCCAATGAAGTTTTCTCACAACAAAAAATGTAGTTGATAATTTGATCAAGAGAGACAAGATATTGAGCATTTGTTCATTTAAATTTTTTCAAAATATTGTCAGAATTTGATGTTAAATATATCATTAACGCATTTTGCCATTGAATTAAAAGACACTTTTACTATCATATTAATTCTGCATATTATATCAGCTTAACTGGATGATAGCCGATGCACCATACAATAAGTTTATTATCGAATGTCCAGATGTTGCTCTACCCCTACTGTCAATCTAAATACAAGCTGACCAGTCCAGATGTTGTTCTACCCCTACTGTCAATCTAAATACTAGCTGACCAGTCCCGATGTTGCTCTACCCCTACTGTCAAACTAAGTACTAGCTCACCAGTCCAGATGATGTTCTACCCCTACTGTCAAACTAAGGACTAGCTGACCAGTCCAGATGTCAATCTACCCCTACTGTCAAACTCTGACCAGTCCAGATGTTGATCTACCCCTACTGTCAAACTAAATACTAGCTGACCAGTCCAGATGTCACTCTACCCCTACTGTTAATCTAAATACTAGCTGACCAGTCCAGATGTTGCTCTTCCCCTACTGTCAAACTAAGTACTAGCTGCCCAGTCCAGATGTTGCTCTGCCCCTACTGTCAAACTAAGTACTAGCTGCCCAGTCCAGATGTTGCTCTGCCCCTACTGTCAAACTAAGTACTAGCTGCCCAGTCCAGATGTTGCTCTGCCCCTACTGTCAAACTAAGTACTAGCTGCCCAGTCCAGATGTTGCTCTGCCCCTACTGTCAAACTAAGTACTAGCTGCCCAGTCCAGATGTCCCTCTACCCCTACTGTCAAACTCTGACCAGGCCAGATGTTGATCTACCCCTACTGTCAATCTAAATACTAGCTGACCAGTCCAGATGTTACTCTACCCCTACTGTCAAACTAAGTACTAGCTCACCAGTCCAGATGATGTTCTACCCCTACTGTCAAACTAAGGACTAGCTGACCAGTCCAGATGTTGCTCTACCTCGACTGTCAAACTAAGTACTAGTTGACCAGTCCAGATGTTGCTCTACCCCTACTGTCAAACTAAATACTAGCTGACCAGTCCAGATGTCACTCTACCCCTACTGTCAAACTCTGACCAGTCCAGATGTTGATCTACCCCTACTGTCAATCTAAATACTAGCTGACCAGTCCAGATGATGCTCTATCCCTACTGTCAAACTAAATACTAGCTGACCAGTCCAGATGTCACTCTACCCCTACTTTCAAACTGACCTTTCCAATTATTGATTACCCAATAAGTACAATAATGGTATTCTTTGCCCAGTAAGTACAATTTGATTAGGAATTACAAGGTCGTTCTCTACAATGGTATTAACAGATTTTGCTGCATTCATTGCATAACCATACAAATTTTGGTTTAAGGATTTGGAAGGCAAATAAACACACGAGGAAAGAGCTAGGTCATTTGATGTCAAGGTCAAGTCTTGTGAGGTCAAGTAAACTTAAACATCATTTCCAAACTCAATTGTCTCATTACAACATTAACACATTCACCCCTGAAATTTCATAATGATCTATTCCAACATTTGAATTGGAAGAGTTCAAATGTGTCTGCAGGGGTGAATGAGTTAAACAACTGTTATTAACACATCTAGTCATTATTGCACACAGTTTGTTTTCTATTTGTCCAAACAATTTGTGGACCTGTTTTTGAAGGTTAACAATACATTGTTTATAAGCTTTTTTGTGATCAGAGCTCTTTCCTGACTGAACTGTTAGTAACAACAATAGCAGCAATGTCGATTATGAATCCCCAGAAGTCAAAAACTCACATACACACCACTTCAGACTCTAGACCATGTCCGTTACTTAATATCTAAAGAACTTGTTGAAAGTTCTCTTCAGCTAGTAAATTTTAAATCAAAATATGTTAATAATTCCAACGCCCCCTTGAACTTTAATATTGTATTAGAAACTCTTCCCTGCTGCACTAGAAGAGCTGAAGTGATATGTGAGCATCATTACTAGTCTACAGGTTAACCCAGCCCTACAGTCCCAGGGTCAACCTGGGGTCCAGTCCTTACCTTTCTGCTGGCGATGATGAAGCTGAGCTGGTCGAGGTGTCCATATCTGTGGTGTTATAATCACACGTATACATGTAAAGGACAATTTGTAGATAAAATGCATTCTTAAAGAGTTCAGATTACTCATATAAGGGTTTTTATACCAGATTTTTCAGACAATGGTGTTTAAGCAAAATGTTTCCCTCTAACTTTAAACTTGATCTTTAGTTTTATTATAAAAGTATACTTGCTGAATCACCTTCACTAATTATATCAAACTTGATTAACTGTATTAGTCCTGAGTCAATTTTGGGGGGTGAAAACGGTGAACACAAAACTGTGGCAGACAAAGTACTTAAACACAGTTATTTTACCATAGATACAACATAGTTTGTCTCTCGTCTGAACTTTGACCTTACCGTCCACTCCATTGGTCATCAGGTTGTCCACCTCGATGTCCACTCGGTCATTGATCATGTGTTTCAGCAGGTCCTGTTGTAGGGTGTTGTTGAGCTCCGTCTGGTGGAGCTGAGCCTGCAGCTCTCGAACCTCGTGTTCTTTCTGAGCTAGTAGCATACCCTAAAGGAACAATAGTATAAAAATAATACTCTGTGTTCCTTTTGAGCCAGGAACATACTGTACAGTAACAAATTATAAGCTAGTGCCCTGTGTTCTTTCTGAGGCAGTAACCAACTGTACATTTACAAATGTATAAGTAAGCACCCTGTTTTCCTTTTGAGCCAGTAACATACTGTACAGTAACAAATGTATAAGTTAGTGCCCTGTGTTCCTTTTGAGCCAGTAACATACTGTACAGTAACAAATGTATAAGTTAGTGCCCTGTGTTCCTTTTGAGCCAGTAACATACTGTACAGTAACAAATGTATAAGTTAGTGCCCTGTGTTCCTTTTGAGCCAGTAACATACTGTACAGTAACAAATGTATAAGTTAGTGCCCTGTGTTCCTTTTGAGCCAGTAACATACTGTACAGTAACAAATGTATAAGTTAGTGCCCTGTGTTCCTTTTGAGCCAGTAACATACTGTGTAGTAACAAATGAATCCCAGGTAATATCTCCTACAGAACCAAAACCATTAGGTCCTACAGCAAACTGTCTAAAGTTAAATCTGATGTACAGTTTCATACATTTGAGGCTAGACATTTTCCAAGGAAAAGTCAAAAATATGTTTTGAAGCATTTCTTTAAAATAAAACTTTACTAGTCAAATAGAAGCACGACTAATATGCAGAAAACTTATTCAGGCTTAAGCCTTTTGTCTAATCCTTTTGGAAACAATAAAATATCTTGAAATAGAAGCAAAATCACAGATTTGACTGCATAGACTACAATAGCAGTGACGAGGAAGAAGCCCCTGTGTCTTGTATCAACTTATCAATGTTATGAATGGACCAGGACCTTAGACCTGATGAGGTATATCCTCTTATCAATATAAACTTGTCTATCTGACTTACCTTACTGAGGGACATCTGCATAAAATGGTTGAGGAGATAGCGGCCCTCGTCCAGGTTTGCCGTGCTCATTATGGCCGTGATATCTAAATTCTCTCCATCCTCCTAATAACAATGTAATAATAATAATAATATATACGATTGAGAATAGGAAGTAATATATTAATCAACTCTTTAAAGCTGACAGTGCAAGTTAAAAAGCTTTCAATTGAGATTAAAAAAAAAAAGTCATACAAGGGTTATACGCATCGAGACCAATGCTCGTTATCAAGCAAGGCCATACTAAAATGTTGATGCTTCCTTAGAAACAATAGCCGGAAGAGATATTCACTAGCAAAGATCTTGAAACCAGATTCAGCCATAGAGGACCTACTCTTCTTTACAATTAGACAGCCTTTATAAGTACAACTATCTACTATTGAATTTAGAATTTCTTATCTTTGAAAATGTTGACCATTTTCGACCTGATTAACACTTCGGCAATTAGCTGTTTGGTAAAAATAGAGTTAATGAAGAAGTTTCTAAAACAAAAAAAAGATAAGGGGTATGATTGAAATCAATACTTTATTTTGAGAACTAGCTTTATCTGTAGGTATTATTCAGGAATACTTAATTTTACATCTGCCATTTCAGTATTGATAGTAATTATTTATAGAGCTAGTACTAGAAAAGACTTTAATTCGTTAATGAGCCTCATTTCAAATTCACACAACACTACACTCCTTATGGCCACAACTTGTCACTGAAAACAAACTTGAGATAACTTGCGAGGAGCTTGTACTCCTGGATGAGAGACGATGTATATACCACCAGTACCTACCTTGGCCTCCTCCATCTGCATGATGTTGGTCTGACACTCAGTGATGTTCTCCTGTGCCTGCTGTACCTGAAGGTTCAGGGTATCCACTGTGTCACTCAGAGATTTTACATCCGCTGGGTCCTACAACACACAAGGTCAAACAAGGGTCATATACAAGGTCATACAAGGGTCATATACACAAGGTCATACAAGAGTCACATAAAAGGTCATACATGGGTCATATACAAGGTCATACAAGAGTCACATAAAAGGTCATACACGGGTCATATACAAGGTCATACAAGGGTCATATACAAGGTCATACAAGGTTACATACAAGGTCATACAAGGGTCACATACAAGGTCATACAAGGGTCATATACAAGGTCATACAAGGGTCGTATACAAGGTCATAAAAAGGTCATATACAAGGTCATACATGGGTCACATAAAAGGGCATACAAGGGTCATATACAAGGTCATACAAGGGTCATATACAAAGTCATACAAGGGTCATATTCAAGATCATACAAGGGTCATATACAAGGTCATACAAGGGTCATATACAAAGTCATACAAGAGTCACATGAAAGGTCATACACGGGTCATATAAAGGTCACATTAGAGGTCATTCAAGGTAACATACAAGGTCATACAGGGTAACATACCAAGGTTGTATTGAGGGTTCAAGGTTGTAATAAATAAGATCATACTGAGATCAGGAACCAGATCATACACAAAGTCATAAAGGTCCAACCACACACGATCATACAAGGGTTACATACAAGATTACAGGTTATCATATTGCATACTGGGAAACTTTTACTTAATCAAAATATTTGCCCTTCACTGGTGAAGTTCAATTAACTATTCATACATAATTACTTCATATGATGGTGTGTTGCAAATTGATTTAGATGCCATGATACATTGCAGTCATTACAGAGGTTAACTAAAATGTTCACAATTCAGCAAGGGTCTGCCATGTACTTGATCGTAAACCCCCTACCTCACCTACCAGTCCTTCTTAGCAACACTGACCTTGATCTACGAAACTTTTAAACCCCTTTTGCACATCTAAAAATCACAGTGTATCAGCATGTCAAATTTCCAAAAGATTCGTCTCTTTGATTTCAAGATAAGGACCATACTGCCCATGGTCTATTTTTGGTACCAGTGACCTTGGCAACTTTTAAGAAAGGAGGGAGGAAGGAAGGAAGGAATGAAGGAAGGACACTTACCCTGGAGGTAGCTATGGCAGCATCTCGTCTTTTTGTGTACTTTTCCATCTTCTTACAGGTTTTTTCTCTGTACTAAAATGAAAAACAAAATGGTCTTTTAAGCAACATGATCCAGTTATCATTACATGAATAATAGCATCCTCTGTCACTGCTTTTAGTACCAAATCATCAGTGTGGAAAGTCAACACATACTGTAAAATAATAACAATAAGGCTAACAACCATGATTTCAACACACATTTAGTTTTTACAGGAAGGACCTAACATTTTTCTATGATTAAGATGCTCATTACAAACAAGAGGCCCATGGGCCTTAACGGTCACCTGAGTCTATAGTATTTATTTTTGTTGTTGAAATATGTACCAATTTGAGTAAGAAATAGTATAATGTTAACTTAACTTTGTCAGGACCATGAGCTGATCATTCCTAGACCAATTTTAAGTGAGATCGGCCTATTAGAACTTAGTAGCAAAATAGCGGCCATGGCAGCCAAATTGTATTTCTGATTGACCCGAAAAATAACAACACTTTGTCAGGACCATGATTCGATCATTCCTACAAAGTTTCAGTTCAATCGGCCAAGTAGATCTTTACTTTAAGTTTGAAATAGTTTACCAAAATGGCAGCTGTGGTGGCCATATTGGATTTCTGATCGACCTGAAAAATAACAACACTTTGTCAGGACCATGAGTCAATCATTCCTACAAAGTTTCAGTTCAATCGGCCTAGCAGAACTTGACTTTAAGTTTGAAATATGTTTTCAAAATGGTGGCCGTGGCGGCCATATTGGATTTATGATTGACCTGAAAAATAACAACACTTTGTCAGGACCATGAGTCGATCATTCCTACAAACTTTAAGTTCAATCGGTCCAGCAGAACTTGACTTTAAGTTTGAAATAGGTTTTCAAAATGGCGGCCGTGGTGGCCATATTGGATTTCTGATCGACCCAAAAAATAACAACACTTTGTCAGGACCATGAGGCGATCATTCCTACCAACTTTCAGTTCAATCGGTCCAGCAGAACTTGACTTTAAGTTTGAAATAGGTTTTCAAAATGGTGGC